ATACACGTATTTTCAGTATTAATTCAATAGTCAAATTAATGACTTAACCAATGTGATTAGTTTCAGTTATTCCTAATCCACATGCAATGTCTACAACAATCACGACTATCCTCCACCGATAGCCCAAAACAGTTATTTCTAAACTGAAAATAACTATGTCAACAATTCAATAGACAAATGATCAAATTATCCAACTATGCCATTTAATCAATAAATTCCTCAATTCCATGAATTTAACCATCCTTTCCCAATTCCATGTATTAATTATACAAATTAATTTAATAAAACAACTAGGGATTTTCCCAAAATTTACCAAAGTATCCCCAACATATTAAAATACCAAAACCTAGAACAAAACCTATACAATGGAGTAGGAAATCCCTACCTCGAAGAAATAGCCCCAAAATAGAAGATGGAGATGAAGACCCAAACTCCAAAGTGCTCCAAACTACCAACAATTCAGATTAAAATGAAGCCCTCGACTTACTCTATCTTTTTAATGAAGGATCTAGGGCAGAAACACACCCTAAGTAGATCAAATCTAAGAGGGAAGGTGAGTAGGGAGAGAGAGAGAAGTCGAACCTAGGGTTTGGGATAAAAGAGAAGATGAAAAAGACTGATCAAATCCCGCTGCTGTGTATTTAACCTGAACAGGCTCGCTCGAGCGAAGACTTGGTCGCTCGAGCGACCAGACACAAAGAAACTACGCTCGAGCCAAGGAAGCCTTGCTCGAGCCAACAACCCAAAAGCTCGCTCGAGCGAAAGAAAACTCGATCGAGCGAAGAACTCAAACCCTCAGGCCTGAAACCAGACTCACGCTCGAGCGAAGGAACTATTGCTCGAGCGAAGAACAAACTAACTCGCTCGAGCGAAGAAAAGCTCGCTCGAGCCAAGAATGCAAAGCTACAGGTCCAACCCAGACGCCAACTCTTGCTCGAGCTACCAACCCCGGCTCGAGCGAAGAACCAAAACAACATCTCGCTCGAGCGACAAACTCCTCGCTCGAGCGAAGATCCAAAATTCTGGACAGCAACACTTGGTTTCTAAACCCAACCAACCTGAAACCAACCTGCCCCAACACATCCTATAATTCCAAAAGAGAAAATAAAGGACCACAACGACAACAATTATACAATGACAGAATCTACGGAACATTCCAGATACAATAATCAAATGGGAAAAGACCGGGGTCGCTATAGGGTTGCTGTCAAATGGAAGGGTGCTGGTCTGCATCTTGTTTGGCTGCAGTTATGCTGGTCAGATTGTGAGTTAAGCCCAGTTAAACCTGCATTCATTGAAGATCTGAATGGTTGGTGTATTTAATGGTCAACATGGCAGTTTGTGCAATGGGTTAAGATTCTGCCAAAGGTAAATCATATGATTTGTGCAATGGGTTAATGTATTTAAGATTCTGCCAAAGGTAAATCATATTTTAGTCATTTGTATAATTTGAATTTTAATGTGGTACAGAGTGTCATGCCAGCTATTATGAATCAAGGCCTTATATGATATGAAATTGTTTTAGCACCTTATTTCATTAAATTAATATCATGTGATTGTTTTTATTCTCTCTGCATAATTTAATTGGAAAATCTAAAAAATCTTCTGAATTGAAAGATTCTTGTTCAATTTCTTGAATTGAAAAAATGATGTAGGCTGTTCTATATCTATTTGAAACTTATTTTTTTTTCAAAATATACGCCTCGTGAATGATTTTTTTCCTCCTGATAAAGCTAATTGCACATTTTACCTTTTTGAGTCATGTGGTTTAGATTTTACAAACATGCCAATTGATATGATTTCCCAAAGGGAGTGAATGAATGACCTGGGAAGGAAAATCTAATGTTTGAGAGATTGTTGCTTTCTGCATTGCCTTGTTGATTCCTTCACCTGGGATCAATTTTCTGGCAGCGTTTCACCCCTGAAGCTTCATAATTGATTGTACAATGTGTTAATTTGTTCCTGCAGTAACTGAAATGCTTCAAGTTTACTTCTTGTCACCTATACGAATGTTATACAAGTGTATATTTGGTGTCTTTCATTGTGTCTGAATTAATTTAGATGTTATCTGATGTGCAGAAGAGGCAAACAGCTCTATTCTCATCTACCCAGACTAAGAAGGTATTTCTGTACATGCTTTTATTGTTTCCTTTGTTTATTTAGATTGTAAACATACATTGTTTTGAACTTAATATTTTTTTTATTTATCAATATCTCTGAATTCTTTTCTTTATAGAAACTCTCACAGTGAATAAAATTATGATAAGACTTTCCTAATTTTGTTGCTTGAACATTGCAAGTGTTTCCAACACCAAAATTATGGTGTTTCTTGTAGGCAGTCTACGGGTCAACCTAAGTTCAGTTTATATAGTTGCTCGTGTAGCTTGAATGGTTATATTAATTTATTAATCGTTTAATTTCTTGTTCGTAGAATATGTGCCTTTCTTTAGACCTGCTATATCCTAATTTCTTGTCTACTGTTGATTTGTAGGACGATATCCTATTTGAAGTGCTTTTGCAACTGTTTCACGTGTCCTTTGGTGCCAAGCAACAGTAAGCAACAAATGCTAGAATAGTTTTAGTGGTTATTAAGAGTATTGGTTGCAGAAGTCTTTAATGAGTTTTTTTGTTTGTATGTAGGGTCTACCAAGACAGATGTGATGATATGGTATTTTTCATGTTTCAAACCTTTTCAACCCCATACACCCATTCCATCTTTTTCTTGCAGAGGCAAGTTCAATATTTATAGATAATGGGAACAACTAAGACTTCTTATCCCAATGTATATACTTTTATTTCGTTGATACAAAGAAAATGCCTCTATGTTCTATTCTTCACTTACCAGGTGAAGTTATTAAATAAAGTAATACATGCACTCCTAACTTGTTTGCAGTTACACTATGATCATCAAGTGCTTCTTGATTACCTAATTTCAAAAGATACAGGAGCCAAAGCTGCTGAATATCTGTTGAGGTAGTTTAGTTACTTGAATTGTACTCTGATCTCTCCTCTGAAGTTGTGAATACTAGATTTTCATGAATCATAAGCCTAAGAAAAACTGTTGCCTGCTTTAGATATGTTGAGAAGTGCAGGTTTTTTTAGAGCTTACTTTAGGTAGGCAATGTATATTCTTTTTCAGTTTTTATTGGTTGGCGAAGTTGATGCAAACAAATGCAATGCATTGCAAGATAGTACCAGAGGATGGAACTTTGCCTGAGGTGTAGCTCATCCTTGTATCTGTATGAATTTGGGGGTGCTTTTAATGAACTTCTCAGTTTCTAAATTAGCTGAGTTAGTTCATGCCTTCAAAATTATTTTTGTCTAATTTATTTTAAAGTAGGCATATCATGGCATATTGGAAAATGGAAAATGGTGTTACTTGTGTTATTGTATAGTTCATGTATTATTTTTGTCTGCAATAATCAAGCATTATTTTTGTCTAGTTCATGTATATAGTGTTACTTATGTTATTGCAGATTGGAAAATGGTTCCTGGCTTAAAGACTGGTCGGCTTCGGAAGAAGACACTCACGCAGCCAGAAACAGACTCGCCAGCTGCTATTCCTTTAGGATCACCCGTTGCTCCGTCTCCTGTTGTACCCGTCCGATCAAATGTGGGACCATCTCATCATGTCACTAGCCAACCAGTGGTTGATTCTGATGAGACACAAGCCCCATCCGAAAAGCAGCTGAGTGGCGTAGGTAAGAATAAAGTGTATAAAATTTGTCAATTACCACATGCCATTGCCATTGTTTTTTTGTAGCCAAATTTTAGGCAATTTTCATGATGTTATGTTGTTAACAGGGACTTCGAAGCCCCTACGTGTACGTGGACCGACACTTGGCAAGGGCATACAAAAAATAATTAGAGCCAAAAAAGGGGAAAAATGTTATGTTCACATCGATCGTGGGTTGAATGCAATGACGGCTAGGTATTAGAAAAGCTAAAGATCACAATGCATCCCTTCTCATTAAACTGGGATGGAAAATTCTTAGTGAGAAAGACAAACTTTGGTGCTAAGTACTACAGTCTAAATATCTTATACTTAATTGGCCCATAAGGAAAAGATCATCTCATACTTAAGAATAACACCCAATCATTAGTCTAGTAAGGAAAAGATCATCTAAATATTTTCTCTAGGTTTTTTTTTTATTTATTTAAATACAAAATAGGACTTCCAACTGTTGTCATACTACCAATTTCCACCTATAATTCACTGCCACTATGTTGGTTGAAGGATTTGGAAAAGGAAAAGTGTGTCAGCGTAGAGGATTCATTTTTTTGATACATCTATTAAAGAATTGTGTGTTGTATAATCTAAAACCACAATAATATTCATTTGATATCAGTATCTAATCAATTGATTTGTCATAAAAAGTTTAGAAACACCCACTTCATTCTCATTAGTTTTTTTCATAAGTTTCAGGACAACTCACACATATGCATCAAATAGATGAAAACAAAGTTTGGGCATAAATCATCAACAAACCAAAAAAAGGCCAGTAGAAATAATACCACACCATATGTCAAAGATTCGTTTAATTTAAGAAGAATCCATCTCATGTTTAACAACTAAAGCAGTAGAATAGAAATAAGCCATCAAAATTCAAACTTTAACACAAATCCATAACCTTCTGCACTAAAACAAAAACACAAACAGTAATTCAAAGTTGAAATCAAAGGATTAATCACCACCAGACTTCTGATAAACATAGGTGAAGCCACACTTGCCACAATAGTGCCGATCAAAATGATTCACCATGAAAGTCCTAGCACCGTACTCCCCATTAAGGCTAGGTTGGGGCTCATCCTTAAAATATCAATATCGCATATTTAAAAATCAATGATGGACTGCAACAAGTACACATATTCAATCCCATTTAGGTAATAACCTACATGTTTGGTGTTTAGAGCAATTTTAATTTATTTTTAAAATTGAATACGAATCTGGCTTCAAATCTGGCAGAAAATCTGTCTTAAAATCTGTCTCCAAATCTGTCTCCCAATCTGTCCAGCAATTTGTTTAAAAATCTGTTCATGGAAATTTGTCTGTTTGGTGCATAAAGTGTCATTGATTTATACATTGATGTGTTAACAGGTAGCAAAAGATGGAGAGTTGGATTTCCCAAAGTTCTATGAGGACAGCCACACTTCAAAGAAAACGAATGACTGGATCCATCCGAAATGCCGTGAGCTGCATGTAAGTATGTGACAAGGAAATATATGTATTCAATATTTTCTTGTACTTAGTACCCAATAATACATATATGTTGCCAAAGTTTTTTAACCCTTATTTATTTGAAATGACAGCAAGAGATGGTCAATGTACAAGCGGCTGCCATCGAGTCGGGGACGCCATTGACACAAGAGGATATTTCAAGGCAAGTGCTTGGACAGAAGAAAAGGTACTTGCTTGGATTTGGGAGTGGCCCACAACCGTCTACCATATTTGCAACACGAGCACACGATAAGGACATGGAGGCAATGCGAGCTGAGGTGGAGGCACTTCGTGAGGAGCGGCAAAAGGATCATGACGAGTTAATGAAAGAGCGAGAGGAGCGCGAGAGATGTTACAATGAGCTGTTGAAAGAACGAGAGGAGCGCATTCAATTATCCAATGAGATGTTGAAAGAGCGGGAGGAGGGACAAAAGGCAAGGGAGGAGACAAATACAAAGGTCGAGCATCTTAATAACGTAGTTGCCAAACTGTCACAACTCTTGGGAATCTAAGTTGGGCATCCGACGTTTGTTTTTTGGTAAGAACAATTTCATTAATGTCACACTTACTTTGTTTAAATATGTTCGGTTGAAGAGTTGAAAATGTCAAGCATTTTTGAGTTATTTGGGGTTAATGATTTCTTGTGTAGTTACTAGAGTTTGGTATTGAGTTTTCTTAACAATGAACTTGTATTTAAAATATGTACTTGATTAAGATTAACTATAGTAGAAACATGTTTAAAAAACATAGCGAATTTCAATCGTCGTTTAGAGTAACATGTAAACTTCAATAGTAGTATTTTGAATAGTAACTTGAATATGTGTTTAAAAGTAATGGTAACCTTCCCGGTGACAAATGTGACACGTTGGGACAGACGGTATGCAAATAGGACACATACGTTGGGAGTTAGAGTTGAAAAACTCATAAACTTAGACGAAAAAAGGGGTTCGGGGGGCGAAAATACGAAATGGCCCCGAAACACTATTTTCTCATAACGGGAAGCTTCCCGGTGATAAATGTGACATGTAGGGACAAACGGTATGTAAATAGCACGCCTACGTTGGGAATTAGAGTTGAAAATGTCATAAACTTAGTTGAAAAAAGGGGTTCGGGGGGCGAAAATGCAAAGCATCACCCAAAACACTATTTTCTCATAACGGGAAGCTTCCCGGTGATAAATGTGACATGTAGGGACAGACGGTATGTAAATAGCACGCCTACGTTGGGAATTAGAGTCGAATATGCCATGAACTTAGTCGAAAAAAGGGGTTCGGGGGGCGAAAATGCAAAACAGCGCCCGAACCACCGTGGGGCTCACGCGGACAGCTCTGCCATGACAGATAGGACTTGTCAGAATCGGCGCAACGTAATTGGTACATAAATAGGACACCTACTTTGGGAATTAGAGTTGAAAATGTCATAAACTTTGTCGAAAAAAGGGGTTCGGGGGGCGAAAATGCAAAACAGCCCCTGAGCCACTGTTTTTCCGTAATGGGAAGCTTCCCGGTGATAAATATGACATGTAGGTGTCCACAATACGTAAGTAGGACAAGAACTAAATGTGACGAATGATATATCCTGTTGACCTAGTCCTTTGGAAATTGGAACAAAGGATTTGTAAAGTTCAGCTAAGGTTTAGGCGCAATTGTGTATTTGATAAGTTTAACTATCACCACTACAAAATGTGCAACAGGTGAACAATAGATAGTTCATATATATAACATGGCCTCAAGATTTGGCTGATGGGAGGATAATTCCTCAGCAACAGAATAGGGAACTTAGGACTAAAGAAGCTAAGTATTGAAGGTACGTATCAAAATTAGATGGTGTAATGGAAGACTAGTTAAGCATAATCTTATATAGCTCGTCCCCATAAGCCTATAAAGAACCCAAGGCATTACTCATTCACAAACAGGAACATATCTACATCTATAAACCCACTAATTACTTTATTCTTTAAAGAAAGTGTTTCCAAAATTTCAATGAGTATATCGAGAAAATTAGAATCTTTTATGAAGAAAAAGACCATATTAATTTCCATCCGTGGAGGTCAGGAAAACACTGAACTAACGTAACTGGAAGCTTCATGGAGGTCACAAAAGCATAAGCATAGTGAGTTTTATGGATACCAGACAAACTGTAATGATGGCTTTTCTTACATTTTTATAACAAATAATTTTTGGATGAAATGGTAAGTACACCCAAAATTTTGGTAATTTCATAATACCTACACAATTTACTTTCACATTTAAGTACTAAAATTTACTTCGATAGATTTAGAGATAAAAAAGCTAAAACAAGAACTCATGATGGGTTCATGTTTGGATGTCTTGCATTAGTTAATAGATATCACTCTCCTTGTCTTTTAATGTTTGAAATTATTACGATATATATGTCGTCCAGAAGTGCCATTACACGCACCGAACTAATGATTTTTTCCTCCTTTTTTGCAGATGTTTTTGGACATACAAATGTGGATATGTTTTTGTTGACAAGCACGGGAGGGCATTTTTTTCATATCTCTATCCGTATATATAGTGGTTTGTAAAAAAAATTTTGTTCGTAGCAATTAACATAGCACGTGGTACATAATAGTTTTGTGGCAGTACAGAATATAATTTTTGTTGTGGTACAAAAGTTGTAGGTGCACAATGAATTTGGTTATTCCAGTATTATGTATTGAATTAAATTATTGACGTGGGCTTAGACTTGGTTCTTATGAAATTTGTAATATATATATATATATATAAGTGGATGTTCAATATTAATTTTTTGGATGGTTGGAACTGAAATGTGTGTAATTGTTGTTGAATGCTTCATAACATATTTACCGTTGATGGATACAGGTTGTATTAATAATGGATATAGGTGCACCAAATATTTTAATTAAAAAAAAAATGTTAACGTATTTGGCCACCAAATATTTTGGTAGCTAAATATGTAATCAAATGTTTTGGTGACTAAGAATTTAGTAGCAAAAACATAACCCATTAATTTTTTGCGACCAAATAATTAGTAGCTAAAACAATTGAGAAAGAGATAGAGAAAGTATTGGCTACTAAATTTTTTAGTCACGGAAAAATATGGTATCATTTGGTGACTAAAATGTTTGGTGGCAAAAAATGAAGAAGTGAATGTGAGCAGGCTTTTGGCTACAAAACTTTTAGTGGGCAAAAGTAACAATGACAAAAATTACTTAGTCACTAAACATATGTATTCTATTGGTGACAAAAATGTTTGGTCTATGATAGTTATTCTTAAATTATGGTAGCACTTTTAGTGACTAATACTTTAGTGGCAGAAACAGACCTTTTGCCGACTAAACTCAAAGTAGTAGCCAAATGTGCACTTTCGGCGACCAATTCTTTAGTAGCTAAAAGTGAACCTTCCCCGACCATAACAGGTTGGTAGCCAAAAATCCTAATTCCGCGACCAATTATTTAGTGGCAGAAACATATATTTTGCCGACTAAACTCAAAGTCGTAGCCAAATGCTGATTATCGGCGACCAATTATTTAGTAGGCGAAACATACCTTTTGCCGACTAAAGCCAATTTAGTAGCCAAATGTGTACACTTTCGGCGACCACACAGATTTTAGTCGCCAATACTATTGCCGACAGGGCAAAGGCGACGAGCTTAGCGACGAAAAATTTTGGTCGCTAAATCATTTTGGCGACCAAATAAGTGACTTTTGGCGACCAATATTTTGGTAGCCAAAAGTGACATTTCTTGTAGTGATAGTGAGCCCCATAAACCCAAACAATAGTGGACTGAAGAGAAGTTTGTCCCTTTATCTTTATATAAAATTATATATTTTGTATGTCCTTCACACGTGGTGTCTTACATTTTTTTTTTTTAAAAATTTCATGGTATAGTGTTTGTGTTATATTCATATTGTGTCATGTGTCAGTATTCGTATTTTTTAAAATAAAATGCTAACATATGAAATGATACATTAAAGATGATATAATAATAAAGTCGCTAACACTAAGGATTTAGTGATGCTGCTGTGTGGATTGCGCAGCAACAATTGTTGTGCATTAAAATGGGGCCATTTCAGGGTTCATTTTGATAATCCGAACCGTTCATATTTTAGAATACATCAAGTAGAAAATGCCTGCAAAAAATTAAGTTAATCGGACATCGTTTACCAACTAATCCACTCACATTTGTATTCATTTTAATACTTTAATTTACAATTATTATTTATTTTTATAAATACAAATGTGCGTAGATGAATGAGTAAACGATATTCGATTAATTTGATTTTTTTTAGGCATGTTCTACTTGATATATTTTAAAATGTGAACGGTTCGAATTATGAAAATGGGCCCCGAAATGGGTCCATTTTGACGCACAACCGTTGCTGCTGCGCAATCCGCGCAGCAGCATCACTAAATCCACTAAAATATTACATTATAGTGACTATAAATATATTTTATCCCATATATATGTTCTTGCTGTCAATAATCTTAGTAATTTAACATAATATAACTTGAGATAAAATACACATATAGTCTTTACTGGGCACATTTTATGATTAGCTAAGTTTTAGTTTTGTCACTTTTACTTTTTAATTTTCTAATTTGAGCCAAAATGCTCCAATCTCAATCGGATTGTCTAAATCATTAACAGATAAAATACCTTTATAATCCCTAAAATATGTTTCCTCTATTACTTTAGATTTTGTCTTTTTTTTTTTTTTTTTCATTAAGTGGAAGATTAATTATAAATATGGAAAAAAATATATCTAACTAGATTATTACATCAAAAATTGACCCTTTAGTGAAAATAAACAAGTCCAATCTTTGTCTTTAGCAAGATTTGACCGCTAAATGTTTTATAAGAGAAATCAGCCAAAAAACCCAAAAAAAAAAAAAAAAAAAAAAATCTTAATAATAAGAGAAAAATAATTAATCTTTTTCTTTAGCAAGATTTGATCTCTGAGAGAAGGTAAACAACTCAATATAGCAAAGAACCCTGATAATTGGAGAGAAATAATTAATGATTTCCTAGCAAAATTGCCTTTTACCTCCAAAATAAATTTATATATAAATAGCCAACTAAGCTAACACATTTAATTATTTTGCTTTGGTGATACAACTATAATTTTGTGAATTTCATTCCTAGATAATGCAAAACTAAATATTTTGATGATTGAAAACTAGAGGGTAATAAGGGGAGGTCAACAACTATATTTGAATTGGAACTGTTTATAAATTTTATATTGTAAATTTTATTTTTAAATATTTTAATAATTATTTTTTAAAAAATAATTTATTATTTAAAATGGGCATTTATTCATAAATTCATTTTCACCTACTTACGTTCTATTTAGTCCATTTTTTTTTAATATTTCAATAAGTTTTATGGATGACATAGTTTCCAAAATATTCATAATAATAATATTCACATTGACAATGTGAATGTTTCTTAATATGAAACATCATACTATAAATATTGACTCTTTATATAACAAAGTTGCTAAGCATTCAAAAAATATTTTATAAGGATCAAAATTGTTCATAAAATATTTTAAATATGATAATTAGGATTTGATAAATCAAATATTCAAATAATAAGACTTATTAAAATATATTATGAGCTAATTGTGATACAAATACTTGAAAAATAATTTTTTAAAATCCCCCTGTTTAAAAGTCATAACAATATCTCTAACCTTCATAATAAAAATAACTTTATGTGTGTGCACGCGTGTGGAAGCAGAACAAGCTTCACAAAGCAAGTGCCAAAATGATTTCAGTTTTTCCTACAGGAAGCTATCTTTGTGCGACATTTAGTTATTTATTTGATAAAAAATTTAGAACCTATACCATTTTTCCTAATTATTATATGATTTATGCATTTATATACATGGAGATATCTTTTTAAGTTCAAATCATTTTACAATTAAAAGGTTATGACAAAGTCCACCAAATAGTGTAATTGATGCAAATATTTAAAAAGTGATCAATAAACATTAGAAAAATGCGGCAAGACCTCAGTGACCGCCAACCCATGTGGCTGTGGGTGATTGGAAAGAAAAAAAAAAAAAAAAAAAAATTATGGACCAATGAAAAAAAACTGGGGGTGCTGGGGTGCCCCCACTGGGGTCCCTAGCACCGTTGAAAATAAAAATACCACTAACGGCAACTCTTTTATTTTATTTTTATTTTTTTGTTAAAATAGTACTTCATAAACTTAAATAATTCGAGTACAAATTTGTCTCTGATATCTAGTGTCAGTTGATTGAAATCAGCACATGCATTTGCTTCTCTGTAACAGTGGTTAAGCTCCGAAATCCTCAGTTTGTCCAGGAAAAACCTGCAATCAAGTATGACATTTTGTAACTTTTATGCTGTGTTTGGTTGGGAGATTTGGAAAGGAAAAGGGAAAAGGTGTGTAAAACTTGGTGAAATATAGGTATATTTTATTCACATTTTACGTAACTTTTTCCTTTCCCTTTTCAAATTTCTCCTTAGATCCTCCAACCAAACACAGTGTTAGAGTTTGTATTATTTTTGTCAAGAACAAGGCCAATTACCATTCTTGCATCCAATTCAATAGTGATCTTTCTCAGATTTGTTTCAGCTGCTATTCTAAGCCCATCACGCAAGGCCCAGAGTTCTGCTTCTATACTTGACATTGTATCCATTCATCTGCAGAAGCGCATGATCCATTTGCCTTCATGATCACTAATAATGCCTATGCCTCCTCCACTTGCTGGGCCAAGGTTGCCTTTGGAGGCATGTGTTCAGTTTGAAACAACCAACATCGGGTGGGCGCCAACTGATCTAGGTTGGGATTTTTGCAGGTGGGTTTCTGAGAGAAGGAATCATTCAGAGGCTCTGCTAAGGATGATAGGGGTGGGGTTAGGGATGGGGCCTGGGTTTTGGGTGTGGGATTGAAGGTGAGGTTATTTCTTGTAAGCCAAAGGTTCCAGCAGGTTATGATGATGACGATGATAGCCCAAGGAATACCTGAGCTATGGTTTGATTTGGAGGTGCAATTTGATTTGAGCCACTCAGTGAGAATAACGTTCTGTTTGGTTGAGGGATTTGAGAAGAGATTTAAAAAGTAAAAGAGAAAATATAGGTGTCACCTAATTCACACTTTTTTTTTTTTTTTTTTTTTTTTTTTTTTTCTTTTTCAATTCTCTTCCCAAATACTCTAACCAAACAAAGAGTAAAGGATCAAGAGATGCGAAGTTGGGAGGAGTTTGGACCAAGTATTTTTTGCAACAGTGCAGGTGCGCTTGAGAGTAGCAGATTTGGCACTGTGGGTCAAAGTGACCGCCTCTCTGTGTTAGAAACTCTCTAGTGCTGATTCCATTTTGGATAGCAAGCCAAATAAAGTGTTTGATTCTAGGAGAAGTTGGTGTTATCCAAAGCTAGTCCCAATTGGTTAGAGGAGGATTAGGTTTGGGAGATTGGATGATATCAAAAGCCAATGATGCAGTAGTCAAGGATCCATCCTGACTGTTTTTCCCAATGACAATGTCATCTCCACTCACGACTACTTTGATTGTATGAGTTTATGGATACAATTGTATTCAGAATCCACTATTTTTCTAAACTCTCATACTCCATTTTTTTTTT